TTGTTTTTCAAATCATACAATGAAAATACAAAAGTTCCAAATTCCTATGGTCTCCTAGTCCATTTATAACTTTCTTAAATCAAAATCCTTTTTTTTTTTTTGGCTTTTTGCCAATTATATATTGTTTTTAAACTCTTAAGTCTCTATTTTAAAAAATTCCTTGTAACGAAGAAAGAAGGTAAAACTCACCAGGTGTCAAATTAAACTCAGTATTTGAAGGTCTCTAGTACCCATGAGAAAGTTAAGTAGATCATTTCCAAAGGTGGTTAGAAAGTGAGTGCAGCTGGCTTAGTGTCCTTTCTAAAAGCTCCGCCACAGCTGAGGCAAGATGTTGTCTCTCTTGGCTCCTGGTGCTCAGTCCCACAGGGGACTGCTGTTCTATGATCCCCTCATGAGGAGCTGCCATTCAGAGTGTTTGTGGGCAATCTCCCATCCTCTCCTTCTGCAGAGAGGTTCCAAAGGACCAGTCTACTTGCCAGTCCCTCATTCTTCACCATGGTCATAGGCTCCAGTGTTCACAGATACATCTTCAGTCAGCCATGATTCACCTGGAAGCTGAAATAGTTACAAATGCCATGTTTTTTTTAGTCTGCTGAAACATTCGTTTCCAAGGAGATTCTAACCTGTTTTTCTTTCTTCTTTCAGGCCAACCAGGACAAAAAGGTGATCAAGGGCAAAAGGGTAGCAAGGGAAATACAGGTAAATTGGAAAATCAGTATCAATATTTTGCATATACATATAATCAAATGCATATGATCTTTATGTTTTGCTTTGGCAGAATATGGATTTATAATGTCGTAATTATTATAGGCAACTGCTAAAGAGCACTTATGACAGATGCCCTGCTTTCAAACCACTCTCCATAAATTCCTTTTCATTGAAGCTACTGGCTTACCCCATATGCCTTGTTTGGTAGATCTTTAATGAAAAACTACTGTAAAGGTTCTCCAATGCTGGTTCTCCAATTTTGCTGTTAGACACTTGGAGAAAAATATTGTGGCAGTAGCAATGCTGTTAGAAAAGAATGTCAAGCAGAAATCCATTTTAGGACCACAATCTAAAAACCTTTGCTTCCTAGAATTAAATCTTCTGCTGTAACTTTTTTAAAAGTATCTCATGCATGGAAATCAGAATCAGTCTGCAAAACTTCCTACATCATTTCTTCACTTTCTTTAAAGCAGAAACAAATGTTCTAGTTTTGGATTTCCTGCACTGAACAAGTAATTGGACTAGGTAGTCCATGACAGTGGTTCTTAAAGTATGGTCTGGGGACCTCTGGAGGTTCCCAAGACCCTCTTGGGGGTCCATGAAGTCAAACAAGTAAATATTTTTAAAGTTCTCACATTTAATTTCTAATACAGTAAATATTGATAGATATAACTCATATAAACCAAAGCTTTTAGGGGTCCTCAGTCATTATTTTAAAAATTCTAAAAAAAATTAAAAATTGCTCCTGAAACCAAAATGTTTGAGAACCACTGGTCTATGAGAACTCTTGCAAGAGTTATGACTTGAGGATTGTAACACACAAGTAGGACAGATAATCTCCTTCTGGTCCATGTTAGGTATATATGTATTTATTTTATTCATTTATAACTCCATTCTGTCCTGTTTCTGCATTCATTTATGAATCTTCTTACAACAAACCACAAGTTATCTGGATGTTTCATCAAACACTTGTTCTTTTTATTGTCTTAAACCAGGACCACCAGGAATACAAGGTCCTAAAGGTGAAAGGGGCAGCTCAGGTAAATTACTCCTGACAAACAGTTTGTAGAGCTTCATTGCACCCATGGAGCTCATATGAGCTGGGTTTCTTTATCTAGCATCAGACCAAAGCAATACCAAAAGCACAATTAAAAAATACATACAGCTAGGACTGTTCCAGAAGTAGGACAGAGATAGCACTCTTGGTGTCAAGATTTATAGGCAACCACAATAGCCAAGTAATAGGGTGCAGTCCTTTTGTCAGAAAGGATATGTGTGCTTAATATCCTTTGTGTTCCTACATTTAACCCAGGAATAGTCTTCGAGACCCAAGTAAGTGTTCTGTTATACCTTGTCAGGGGTAGCTTATCCATATGGGTGAACTAGGCGCACCAAGCAAAGTAGAGAAGCCAATTTCAAGGAACAACATCAAAATGTACAAATACCAATATTTTTTCGTGGAGCACCAGTTGCAGGATTTGCCCAGGATGCTCTGGTTGCATCACTCTCTAGGAGAGTTTATATTCAACCATCCTTTAAATATGGAAAATCATATGTGTATAGTTGGAGCAGAAAGGTTCTTTTGCACTGGTTACTTGGCCTAACCAAGCCCTTAATACTTTGCCATTGTCTTTTGAAATTATGTATACGAACAACCACAGGAGCAAGTGCTTTCCTAAGACTCATTGGGCAAGACAAGCGTGGCCGTGTGGAAATTCTGTACAATGGGGTGTGGGGCACCATCTGTGATGATCACTGGAACCTGGATGCTGGCACAGTGGTTTGCCGAATGATGGGATTCAGTAGGGCCATTGAGACTTTCACTGCAGTTCCAGGTAATCTTCCTCACTACTTTCATCAAATCAGAAAGCATGAGATGTGTTTCAAAAATAGCAAGGCAGCATCTTTGTCTTGGGCCTTTGTCCTAGAGGGGAATTTTAGGCATCTGAAAGAACAGCTGAAGGGGATATGATTCCCTCAACGATCCCACATATTTGTAAAATCAGGTTCTTGCAGTATAATGATATCAACAGAATTTGTTTTCTCCCCTTGGGAACATGGGGGTTGAAGTTTGGTCATCTCTATAGTAAAAGGCTTTGGAATTTTTTTCACTTTCTAAATTGTCAGAGGAAGGTGGGGGGATATTTTGAGGCCTCTTCTCTGGGATAGGGAGTAAATGCTTTTGAGCTGGAGGGGACACACTGAATGCCCTTATTTGAGTTTCTGTAACATCCCAATATCAGAAAATAAATGAACATATTGATTATTTCGAGGGTAGCAAGAGCTGTTGTAGTTTCATAAGAAAAGTCGTGCTGTAAGAAAACTCATACTCTAATATCATACCCATAATATAAGATCAAGAGCTCTTAAATTATGTACTTGAAACAGAGAGCACAAAGTTTTCATCAAGGAAACCCAAATATCAAAACTGAAATACAATGTACAGATTGCACAGATAGTCTCTTTTGAGTCAAGCTCCATGGATAACCATACAGATGTTGTACATGGCAACTTGTACAAGACATTGCAATTGGCAACTGTACAGAAGTAACTCCCAGCATGCCAGTTGCCTCTGCCATTGGAACTGTGAGTAAAGGTTGACAAATAAAAGTGCGGAGTCCTTGGGGTTCTCTGAGCTTGGTTGTTTTCTTGGAAATATTTTGTTAGCTGGCTAGGTAATATCTTCAGTGCTAGCACTGAAGATGTTACCTAGCCAGGTAATGAAATGTTTGCAAGAAAATAACCAAGCTCAGAGAACATCAAGGACTCCACAGTTCAACCCTGAGTTACGTATATTCTCTTCTATTGGAAATAAAAGTGCATCCACAGAGTATTAAACTATTTTGGTCAGAAAGGAAATACTTTCACAGACTTTATGGGATTGAGGCAGACAACCTCAAGCCACAGGACCTCATTCAGCTCCCACCCTCACCCAATCCCCACTCAGGGATTCCCTCAAGTTATTAAAGCAAATTTTCAGTATGGCAAAGGGAGGCATTACAAAATGAATTACTGGAGTGGACTCATGTTAATGATTACTGTTGACTAAACAGAAATGTAAATAAAATGAAACCACATTTTTGCTTTTGTCTTATTTTGGGGAGTATGTCCAAGTCCAAATGCCAGATGCAGCTCTTAGCCCTGGAGTTATGTAACTTGATGTATAAGGTCCACAAGTATCTTCAAAGCTTTCCCAGTGCTCAGGGCAGCCTGAAACAACAAACAACAACAACAAACAACAACAGATGGTGCCTTCTTCCCAGTTCTTGTATAGAAACCAGCTAGACCGGCAACTGGGCTTTACATTAATATGAATTATGAGTAGTGTTTTTCATCACATCTAAAACAAGAGAGAAGAAGACACCATCATGCCTCCGTTAGTTTAGGAGACCCAAGACTGGCTCCATGGGAAACACAGCTCCACCTTTCAACAAGGAGTAGTCAGGGATGAATATTTGGAAGGCTTCCAGTGGGATAGCCATGTTAGACTGTTGTAGCCAAGACATATGGCACTCTGAAGACTAACTATATAAATACTTATTGCATAAGCTTTCCTGGGCCACAGTCCATTGCTGCTGTCCCTCAGCATCTGCTGCTTGAGGCAATCACTTCTCTCTGCCTAACAGTAGGGCCGGCCCTGCCAGTATTCCAGCAGTATAAGGTGCACGTTTTTGAAACACATAATGGATTAACTTACTGGTGCTATTTTTTCATATTAACTCATTATATCTCTGTTTATTTATTCTGACTCTCATCAGGATCTGGACAAATCTGGCTGGATGATGTGACATGTACAGGAACTGAAAGCTCCATTTATTCATGCAATAAACGTGAATGGGGTGAAAATAACTGCAGTCACAGTGAAGATGCTGGGGTAGAGTGTGCTTAAGGCAGTTTTGCAGTGAAACCTATAAAATAATATTGAAATAAGTGTCTCAGCCTTGTCATGCAATGAATATCTAACTGATCTAATGTAATGTTTACTGTTTTCTGTTGTATCAGTGTGTTTTTAGGCTGTTCATTGATCAAGTTTATTTTTAAAGATGTATTTGGTGTATCTGGGCTGAGGAATTTTTTATGTAAGAATCCCATAAATTGCATCCTTATTTATCTGAATGGAAGATCCATTCACTCAGTTAGACTTCCTAATAAGAAGCACACATGGGCAATACATGCCACAAAAAGTTAAAATCTGTCAAGCTAGATTTCATCATTCAATAAAGTAAAATTACTTCCCTGAGTTCTTCTGTATATAATAATTTATTCTGTATATAGTATGGCTTTCAGGGAATTAGACTGAACAGCTTCTAAAGTAGGGGTATCCTTATTGTACACCATATAACAGCAAGTCCACATCCTTTGCTTTATACGATTTTGTCACTGCAAGGACCTAATTATTGTCTTGAAGACTAGCATATTTTAAGATGCATAAGAAACATCATTCCCCTGCTCAGGTTTAATTCTGCATTGTTCCAAGGCTGCACAGTTTAATCTAGCAGCAGTTTCTAGGTTTTGCTGAACTGTAATTTCTCACAATCTTAGCCAGCATGACCAATTGCAAGGGATTCTGGGAAATGGAGTTCAGCAGCATTTTGAGCCCCATAAATTCCCCACTGAGGCAGTTCAGTCATCTGAACACTTAATTAACAACCCCCTCTTCATTGAGAAACAGGGATTTTTAAAAAAAATCATACCAATACTGAAATGTTAAACATAAATTATCTGTTAATGTCAAATAATTAATGCCAATTGCATAAAAAATAAAGTTATTGTTAGGAAGCAAGCAGGAGACATATTCTGAAGTTTGTCATTGGAGACGCTTCTGGTAGCATGCGCGTGTCCTGTAGTTTTCCTCTCAAGGTGTTCTGTAACATTTAGCTTCTCAGATTGATCGCTAATCAGCTCAGACCTGTACAAGTCTGTATACCTAGGATTTTTTATTTTTTATTTTGGCTGTAAACAGCCCTACAGTAACTACATAATAAAACTAGAGAACTGTGTTTTCTTTTCTACTAGATATTCTAACCAATGGCTCCATCTCAACACTAGGTGGAGCTCAAGGCCCTCTTGCCCATTCATACAGTCTAGGGTCTTCAGCAAATTAGAGCTGAGTTACTTGCTGATTCCTTTTGTCACTGACAAAAGGAATCAGGGATTACCGTGACAGTGTCCTGATATCAAAACTGGCTTACAAGGCAAATGGCTTCTCAGGTGCACACCGCTTAACCATTTCCAATCATTTTAGCTACTTTGAGATTTCCATAGACCAAGATCTCTCACTTGTGAGTCCACCGCTTGGAATTTTCTGGCCCTGTTTCTCAAGTATGAACTATTCCAGAGAGAGAGTTTATTACAAGACTCACCCCCATCTCAAGGACTTCAGCAGCTCCTCCCATATCTCCTTTGCCTGCACCTTCCATATTTGCCTGCCTGCAAACTTGAGCCTGCACCTCAAACTAATCAGGAGTAGGTGAGGTATTTCCTGGTAAAATGCTCCCCTCCTCACAATTATGGCACTTTATTGATGTTCTGCAGGGTGCTAGGAGGGCACCCTCATGCAAAATAGCCAGATTTTCCAGAATATCAGCATAAACCATAAGTATAATAGCATGACTTCTCCTAGGCAATGAGCAGAGTTCAAGGGCTCCCAGGTCCATGGGTTCAACTCCTAAGGTCTCCAATGTATAGGAGGGTGGGGAGGAAGAAGGGTCCAGAGTCACTTTGTGAGATGGATGGCTATATAAATGTGATGTATAAATAAACAAATTAAAAAATTAAAATGTGTCTGGGGTGCCCTTGAGCTAATTTCTCTCATATTTCATCAGACTGGCCTTCTCTGAACTGACCAGTTAAGCCATGCATTCTTGCCTACTACACCTGAAACGCTGTAATATTCTCTGGCATTAAATGCTTACACTGCTGGAGACAGGATCTTCAAAGTTAGGCGTACCCCAAAGCTAACATAGTTATCCAAGTCTGCATTGTTCCTGATCTGTAATGGGGTGACTTACGTAGAAGCTCCCTCAGTCATGAGGTTTATATAATTTTTTTTTAAAAAGGAAGGAAGGAAGGAAGGAAGGAAGGAAGGAAGGAAGGAAGGAAGGAAGGAAGGAAGGAAGGAAGGAA